GATATAACACAATCATGCATTGTGAAGCTATTGGGTCAGAGCTGTAAATCAAGCAGATACTGCAGCTGCAACTTGTTCTTCGTCTGGAAGAAGAGTGCACACCAGTTTCCTGTCTCCATACACATTGTCCACACGCCCTGTTCCACATTTCAATCATTTGTCAAAAAGCAGATTTTTGAATCCTGGAATACTGAACCGAAAAAACAAATGTCCACTCTAACTTGGATGATCTATAATACCTGTGGTGGGCCAGAACTTGGAGGAGCGGAGCCATGGGGCAGGGAAAGCAGCGTACTCTCGGGAATACGGCTTTTTCCATGAGTCTGCCATTAGCAACGATGGAGGATGTGGAGCTCCCTGAGAACACGAACAACCCCAATGTCTCAAATGTCAATTTCGATGAAGAACACTATTGGAATTAAGATGAGTGTTTTGTTTTTTCAATTACCTTGAGAACGTTGTTCTGGACATCCGCATTTCCTTTTTCAATCTGTGCAATTTCTTCCCTGATCGAAATGAGTGCATCACAGAACCTGTCTAACTCCGCCTGCAAACGATGTTATCATTAGTTCATCACGTTGATACATTGAGAGAGAGAAAGAGTCAGTGAGAGATTTGCATATGCATATACCTTGCTTTCACTCTCGGTCGGCTCAATCATAAGCGTTCCAGGGACAGGCCAAGACATTGTGGGTCCATGGAATCCATAGTCCATTAGCCGTTTCGCCACATCCTCTGGTTCTATTCCAGCAGTGTTCTGCAAACACATGTTTGAGTTGGTTCATGAATATGCATCATCACCAAACAAAGATTCAACATTACTTTAGTTTCAATCTCACAACATTTCTAATACCTTGAAGCCTCTCAAGTCTATGATGAACTCGTGTGCTACTGTTCCGTTAACACCACGGAAAAGAACTGGGTAGTGCTTCTGTAAAAACCAAATCAAGAATTTAGACTCTGTTTTATTCTTGACTCCTCCATCAAATATTTGATTGCAAAAAGAAGTAAAGGTACCTCTAGACGTTTTGCCATGTAATTGGCATTCAAAATTGCAATCTTTGAGGCATCAGTGAGTCCACCAGATCCCATCATGGCAATGTAAGTATAAGATATTGGCAAGATAAGAGCAGATCCCCACGGTGCAGCAGAGATTGCACCCAGCGGTGCTGTCTTCTCGGGTTGTGGGATACCGCCAGTAGGTATCTTTAAACATGGCAATGGAGAAAAAATAAGTTGAAAACAAAAAAAAGAGATTACTTCACCAATCATCAAGAAACATAACAGTGATGAAGGATCAAAGACTAACCACGGGGTGAGAAGGAAGAAATGGTGCCAAATGTTGCTTCACACCAATGGGACCCATACCAGGACCACCACCTCCATGAGGAATACAGAAGGTCTTATGGAGATTGAGATGGCACACATCCGCTCCAATAAAGCCGGGGCTTGTCAAACCAACCTACATGAACCAAACACCAAGCTCTTATAAATTAGACAAAACCAAAGATATCTGTTTGCTGTTTTATTCAGATCTTTCACCTGTGCATTCATGTTGGCACCATCCATGTACACTTGACCTCCATTTGTGTGTATTATGTTGCAAATCTCGTCAATACCCTCTTCATAGACTCCATGAGTTGAAGGGTATGTAACCATGAGGGCAGCTAAGTTGTCTTTGTTGGCTTCAGCAGCTTTTTTTAACTCCTCAATGTTGATATTTCCCTTAGCATCAGTTCCAACCGTAATAATTTTCATCCCGCACATAGCAGCGCTTGCAGGGTTTGTCCCATGTGCAGAGACGGGTATGATACACACATTTCTGTGATGATCTCCTCTTGACTGAATGATGCATTCATTTATTCATTTTCAGTTTATACAATCGAATAGAAATTGTTAGGTAAAATACTTGGAGATAAAAATTAGGATATAAGCGTTTACCATGTGATATGCGCGGATGACCATAAGCCCGGCATACTCCCCGGCAGCACCAGCATTAGGTTGCAATGAGAAAGAGTCAAACCCAGTGATTGTACACAAGAGATCACCCAAATTGTTGAACATTTCCTACACAAATGCCAACAAGAAATCAGTTTCATTGTTCAATTTTCTCAATAAAATCTCAGATGAATCAAGAAAAAGGCTCACCTGATAACCTTGTGCTTGTTCAACAGGAGCAAAAGGGTGAATATCAGTGAAACTTGGCCATGTGACTGGCATCATTTCAGTTGTTGCATTTAACTTCATCGTACAAGATCCCAATGGAATCATGCTGTGGCACAGTGAGAGATCCTTAGACTGTAACTTGTGGATGTACCTCAGCAACTCATGCTCTGTGTGGTACCTAATCACATTGTTAAAAAGGAAATAAAGATGAGATACTGATAATCCACAAGCAATTAGCCATTCAAGATTCAAAGAAGAGAATAATACATGTTGAAGATTGGGTGGGTAAGATAAGGGCTCTCCCTTGTTAGGCTAGAAGGAATGGAGTTCTGAACCTCAGGTGCAAGAGATTCAGCTGTGAATTCAACCTGAAAGGGGACTGGAGATGATCAAATTCTATGAAAGAAGCCAGAACTGATAAGTAAAGAAGAAAAAGAGGAATGAATAACACTCACAGGCTTGCCAGAAGCAAAAACTTTGAGAAGTTTATCGACATCATTCAAGGTGGTTGTTTCATCAAAAGAAGCAGTGATCTGAAAGAAGTTAAGTAATCATCAAAATATTCAACTCTGTATGCGGCTATACAAATAAGAACCTTTAAGGTCAAAGCTCAAAGCAAAGGATGCTCACAGTGCTTGAGTCCACAACACGCAGATTGATTCCGCTCCTGGCAGCTGCATCAGCAATTGCATGTGCATCCGTACACTTAACTTTTACAGTGTCAAAGTAGGGAAGATCTTGGACTTCTGCAACCCCGAGCTTCTTCAACCCTAAGGAAAATACGCCAGCAAGACCATGAACGCGTTGGGCAATAGATTTTAGACCTGCAGGTCCATGGTAAACAGCATACATGGCAGCCATGTTGGCAAGCAACGCCTGCAAGAACAGGAATAAACATTATTCAATACAGTAAAAGAAAGAACGATGTTTTTTCATCAACATGAGCATGGTGGACACTATTACCAAACTATGTAATATGAAGAAACTGTCATCTAATTATCTGCGCGAGTTAGTAGTTTAAAGTGAAAACCGAGTAATCAGATAGTAAGAAGTGATATACCTGAGCAGTACAGATGTTGCTAGTGGCTTTGTCCCTCCTAATATGCTGTTCCCTAGTCTGCATAGCCATACGCAAAGCTTGCTTACCCGAAGAATCAACACTAATACCAATAATCCTCCCAGGCATCATTCTCTTATACTCTTGTGAAGTAGCCAAGAACGCAGCATGAGGACCACCGTAACCCATTGGAACGCCAAACCTTTGAGCTGAACCAACCACAATATCAGCCCCAAACTCCCCAGGGGGTTTCAACATAGTCAAAGCCAACAAATCCGTAGCCATCACAACCTTAACACCATTAGCATGAGCGTTCTTGACAAACTCAGCATAATCCAAAACTTCACCTTCAGTTCCAGGATACTGAACAAGAACCCCACAGACATCACCACAACTATAATCAATATCCTTAAGATCAGCCGTGACTATTTTCAGATCAAACCCATCAGCTCTAGTCTTACAAACATCAATCGTCTGAGGATGACAATTACTAGCAATCACAAAAGTCTTCTTTTTACCCTTTTGAATGTTGTTACACATCGCCATTGCCTCCGCAGCTGCAGTCCCTTCGTCTAACAACGATGCGTTAGACATGGGAAGTCCAGTGAGATCAGTAATAACCGTCTGGAAATTAAGCAGCGATTCGAGCCTTCCTTGAGAGATCTCAGCTTGATAAGGAGTGTATTGAGTATACCAAGCAGGATTCTCCATGATATTACGAAGAATCACAGTAGGTACATGGGTATTGTAGTATCCCATACCGATAAACGATTTGAAAACCTTGTTCTTGGAAGCTAAATCAGCCATGTGTTCAATCATCTGACTCTCGGTTAACCCACCATCGAATTTCGAGAATTTCATCGAATCTAATCGAATCGATTTAGGTACCGTAGCGTCGATGAGTGAATCGAGATGATCGAAACCACAGTATTTAGCCATATGGGTTTGTTCTTCTGGTGTTGCTGAGTTATGACGACGAGGGAAAGTATCTCCGGGTTTAAGAGCCTCGACGGAGATCGAACGCGTC